ACAGCCTTCTAGCCCCTAAGGAACACGAGGAGATACGCCTGTGTGACCTGCCTGACACAGAGCCAGCTGCAAGCCTGTAGGGACATGACACATGACAGCTGTTATAATCAACTCTCTCCCTCCCCAGCTCCCACGCTTCAAATTGAAAATTCTACATTGGCCCAAACGAACACAAAACCTTCACTTTTCTTCCTGGACACTAACTACTAACTAGATAACTAACTGGACACACTAACTAGATAACTGCTCCCTTTATGTCTCAGCTCATAGCCGTGGAGACATAGGTCGATACCAAATCATTTTGTCCCAGTGCTTTATTTGAAAGGAGAAGCCATCTCAGTAAAGAAATCAGACCCTAATGACAGAGGCCAATAAAGAACGACATTGTGCAAGTGGAAACAGCCTCCCAGTGCTCAGCCAGCTAAGCGCCAATGCGAGCTCTTCATTCACGGCACCAACAAAGTTGCCTTTGAAGGCACTGAGCATCATACCTGAGCATCCCGCTCTACAGGCCAGAGGGCAGCGAGGCTGCATTGTTCTCACCAGTAACTGAGTCACTTCTAAGTCACATGCTACTGAAGAGATGTCGGCTGACTGGTTGCTCTGATCGATGATGCTCCCAAGTCTGCTACTACTTTTAAGAATAGTTTCTGCTTTTAGAATGTAAGACAACTCCTCTCTCATACAAACGGGCTCCAAATGGCATCTCTGCGATCCTGGGTCTGCTGAGGCCCCGGGGATGGGACAGGGCCTGGACGTGCAGACAGGATAAGTGAGAGGTGACAACTGCAGGGAGTCTCCACTCATCTGGGAGTTTCTAAAAGGCCCCAGCCTGGCGTGGTGGAGGTGAAGGAGCTGGCCCAAGAGCTGGAGATCAGAGATCCACTGACTTTCCACGTACCAGCTGTGTGATCTTGGGCAAGTCACTCCACTGCTCCGAACCTCAAGGTCCACACCTAAAAAAGGAGGCTCCTCACCCCTCCCCCACAACCCAGCCCTCCCCGGTGCCCTGCTTTGTCTTGCTGTCTCCCACCACTCAGGGCAGCTTATAGACCATTTGATGCGGGCGATCCTCTGTCCCCCTCCCATGAGGGCTGGGACCCTCTCTGTCCTATCCCCTACCATCTCAGAGACTCAACTGTGGGATCTATCTTGGGAATGGGACTATATGGACAGTTTTATGCAGAGTCTGACTTTACACATGACGGTTATTCATTAACACATTAACTGCCATGAGAGTTCTATTTAACTCACTCTAGTTTTGACCCCCGGGCTGCGTGAAGCCTATATAAAATCTTACTTGTTGATGTTCTTATTGTTACAATTAATAGTGACAATTTGATCTAAAAACATGGATTAAATGAATAGAAGTCAACAAATTTTGTTTTTCTATTTATGTTTACCTTTAAATTACACTCAAAGTTTTTATTCTATTTTCATAACAAAACATTGTGGCCCCAAGGAGAAGTTTCTGGGGCTCTTATGTGTGGCAGCTGTCGATGTGTTAAATATAATAGCTACTGGATGAATGCATAACGGGCAAGCATGTGAAGGGGTCTCAGCAGACCTCATCACCAGCCCTGACGCCTGGATGCAGCCACGATGGGCACCCATCCATTCTTAGTCCCTCGGCCCACAGGGCATGTGATTCCTGCATGCTGTCACATGTCATGGCTCTCTGATGGTGTGATACCCTTCCCATAGGGTATCACATAGGTAAACATAGGGCCAGGTGTCAAGCTTCAGACCTCCTAGAAGGACACTCACCCCTAACCCTCTACCATGCTTCTAGAATTTGCGCCCACGCTTACATACCCAGGCTTGCGAATTCTCTCTCGGAAATTCACAAGACCTGTCAACTCTGCTTTTCCCCTCAACTGGCAGGAGCTGCGTGAGGCTGCCCCTGTGGGTGGGCATTCACTCACCTGTTCAGAACAGCCCAGGGATGCCCTCCTCTCCCCACCCCACTCCACCAGCAGGGCACCATCCAGTCAAACTCCAAAGGGCTTGGACCAGCACACCCCAGCACTAATCTACACAGTTCCCCTTGTGCAGGTCAAAGGGCCTGAGGCTTCTGGGGCCCAGCTAGTTAACTTCAAGTTTTTTCTCTGCTCTCTCTCAAGACACCAAATAAGCAAAGTCTGCTTTCCAACCTCTCCCAACCTTTCCTGCAAACATTGCTTCCTCCTGACACAGGGATTAATTGCTTCTCTCCCAGGCATGTGAAGAACCAAACGCCTCTTCTGACATCTCACCTTTCCTGGCCAGGGGCAGCGGCAACATGGGATGAGAACAGTGTGGAAGGAAACAGCCGCCCTCACAGCAGCCACAGTGACAGTGCTGTGTCCCTGACCAGGACAGCAGTTCAGACATGATGAGCGCAAATCATCTAAGAAAAAATCAGGGCATGCGTGTGAGCCACTGTTAGCGGACCTGCCTCCCCATCCAGTGTACAATATCCTGAATTAATTAATCCTGCACGCTTCACCCACAAGCCGGCTCACGGCAGTCACACAGTGCCCAAGAGGGGAAAGACGCAAGGACACTGCTGGACATCCTACAGAGGGCCCCTGGACGGCTCTCCTGGGGAGCTGGGCTTTGGAGGGAAGCCCAGACCTGCAGGTCCACCTCCCTAGGTGCTGATGGGAAGACCATGACAAACCACCTCACCTCTGCGCTCAGTGCACCCATCCAGGAGGTGGCGGGAAATAAAATCTTCCTGCCAGTTTTTCAGGAGTTTGGGGGAGAAAAACTTGTTTAGTAAAAGCTACCTAATTAGATGGCATTTTTATTCTTGTGCTAGTTTGAACAAAATCATATATGATCTGTATGGCTTTATGTATCAACCAAAAGATCCCAGCTCAACATACAGTTTGTAAAATTAACAAGTGCCATGTTCTGGAAGGGAGGGTCCTGATTTTGCAATGGTTGGGGGTAGGGGAGTAGGAAAGGCCGGGATGGCGAATGGGATGAGAGCGTCCAAGAGAAACTTTAGGCAAATCTCTAGGCTTCAGTTTCCCCCTGGGCCCCCCAACGGGTGCAGATGCCCCCAGGCGGCCTCTTCGCTCCAGCACTGGGTGGCTACCGTAATCCACCCCGGCGTTCCGCACCACTCAGGAACTGCAGCTGTCCGAGAGCACGGGCACTGCTGGGGAGCCCAGAACCAGAGCAAGCCCCTCCGCCAGCATCACTGAGCGGCTCGCCACGTCCCTTCCCGGGGCTTCACGGAACCACACTTCAGTCCTGAGAACTCGGTACCATCAATTCACCCAACAGGAATACGGCGAAGGAGCCCAGCTGTCACAGCGGCTCCGTGCCCGCCAGGAGACGGGAGAACGGGGGTGGGGCCCGAGGAGCTGACCCCAGCCCCTAGCCTGGTCGCCTCCTTCCAGAATCTCCCTACGCCGGCAGCCCGAAACCGAGCCCCAGCCTTCCGCGTCCACTCCCGCCGCTCCAGCCCGCCGGCCAAGCCGGGCGCAGGGCGGGCGGGCAACGTGGGCACCCGGATCGCGACGGGGCGGTCAAGCCGCGGTGCCCAGGACCCAGGCGGCTCGGAATCCTAAACACGCACACGCGAGCGCGCGCCGGCCAATCGGTTCGCCCGGAGGAGTCGGGAAGGCGCTTCCACCGCTCTTCATTCATTGCCCCAAAGGCGAGACTCCCTCCGCCGGGCGCCTCCACCCCGTGATCTCAGGGGGGTCCCGGGGGCCAACTGCGCCACAACCCCCCACCCAGCCACCCACAGCCGCCGCCGCGTCCTCTCCACCGGCACACACAACCCAACAGACTCGCACTCCATCACGATCGCCGGCGTCGCCCCCGCGCCGCGGCCGCCGCCACCCGGCTCCCCAAGCTCCGCCGCCCGGAGCCCCGGCTCACCACCGCCGCCCACCGCGCGGCTCAGACCTGCCTCGCTCGGCTCCCCGCGCCCAGGCCGGCCGGGGACGCCGCCGCAGCCGCCGGGAAGCGCCGGCAACTCCCGAATCACGCCGCTTCCCGAGACGCGGCGGGGCGCAGGGCAGGGACAGGGGGCGGGGGCGGGGGCAGGGCGGGGAGGAGGTGGCGGGGAGCAAAAGTTCAGACCGCTCGGGGCTCAGCCGCGCCCCCGTCTCTTCCCAGGCCCGCCCCGCAGGCCCCCTCCCGGAGCCCGGTCCCAGGGGCGTCTGCGCCGCAGAGCCCCCTCCTCCCCGCCCGGAGCGGCCGCGGAGCTAAAGTCGGGGTTCTGGAGGCGGCTCCGAGCCAGAGCCGGGACAGAGTGGTGATGCCCACCTACCTGCCCCGGGCCACGCCTGGAAACTTCCCCGAAGTGCGGCGGAGCGGGGCAGGGGGCGGGAGAAACGGAGCGCACGGCCGGGGGAATTCCAGTCTCCCACCGCCACCCAGCGCGCGCTCACACCGCGAAGGCGCTGGTCTGTCCGTCCGTCCGTCCGATTCCGACTCCTGAGGTCGTTCTCCGGGATAGCCGGCCAGTGCGTGCCCCGCGACGTGCGCCCCCCCCCCGCCCGCAGGCCTCCGAGCTGTCCACAGCGCCACCACGCCACCGCCGGTCCCCTGTCCCCGAGCTCTGGTCGTATTCTCTCGGGCTAGGGAGGGGGCGTGCGAGCCCCGGCGCCGCCGCCGGGCAGCCCTTCCGCGGGGTCCCTAAGCGCGCAGGTCGCTGGGAGAGCGACCAGGACCCATGGCGAAGGGACGCCTTCCGCTGGGGCTCTAGAAGCCTCGCAGAGGCCGGGTCGAGGGGTGCGGGGCCCAAACCTGCCTCGGCTCGGCGCGCTCGCAAGTTCATTGTCTGCCTGGGCCGCCGCCGCCACCACCGCGCCGGGAGCGCCGCGGGGAGTGAGGCTGCGCGCAGCCTCCGCCGCCCGGACTCCCAGCGCCCAGCCGGGCCGCCGCCGCCGCTGCCCGGCCGGAACCCGCAGAGAGGCGCCGCAGCCCGGAGCCCGCAGCCAGACCTCCGCCCCTCCTCGCCGCCCCCACGGGGGCGCCCGGCTCCCAACTTGTACCTGAGAAGCCCGAGTCCAGCCCGGGAGGCTCTGCGGCTCCGGCTCCGCGGGAGCGCGCCCAGCCCCGAGCCTCGAGCCCCGCATCCAGGGCGCGTCAACCTGATTCTCCGAGCGCAGGGAGGAAAAGTTTGGGAGTGACGTGCAGATGGCGAATGAAATATCCGAAGAGAACCCTCCCCCCGCCCCATGTCGCGCTGACACACATCAGCTCGAGTCTGGAATGTGAGATCTAGGCGTGTGCGCCGAGCGGTGGGTTTGGTCCCGCCCCCTCCCCCTCCAAGTAAACACGGTTTGTGCGATGCGGAGATTCCGAATAAGAAGTAAACCGAAACCTCTGAAGTCTGGCAGTGACACCTAGCCAGAGACATTTTTAAGGAACTTGGCGGTCTGGAGCCAGCCCATACATTAATATTCAAGGCCACGGCACTGGTGGGTTCGGCGCCCTCTGTTGTATTTTTGCATCCCGCGAAGGTTGGCCAGGACTCCTCGGCCCAGCGTGTTTGCTTCTGCGTGGAGGGAAGGTTCAGCGGGACCCGGAGCGCCACTGCCTGCCGCAGTGGCCCGGAGGCGGCTGCTCCAGGCAACCACCTGGGCAGCCCAGGGCAAGGAAGCGGCACCAGTGGCTCCCTGGACTCTGGGCTGAAATGCCATCAGCTAAAGAAAAGACACTTGGAATTCTGGAAGTCTCGCTCAGGGGGCGCTTGGAGCACCAAGCCCAGCCTCTCAAGAATCTACGGTCAGGGGACAAAAGAATCCGCAGTCTTTTGACTGCCCATGTTCCCATGGCCGGAGTCCCGCACCCTGTTCCTCAAAGCAACCAGAAGTGGAGCTGACCGTGCTTGCAAACTGTAGAGGACCAGTGCACACGTGTGATGCACATGTGTGAAGGGCGATTCCTGACAGTGCCTTTCCCCCCTTTTCTCTTTACTACTTAAAGCTTCATCTCACCCCCAGAAGCCACAACCCACCCTGAGGTCGTAAACTTCTGCTCAGCATCCATGGCAACTAATGCAGAGGTCACAATCAGAGGATTATAACTGCACATGGAAAACTGGGATGAGAGAGGAGTTCTTTAAAACCCTGTCTTGTTTTCCTGCAAATAATGCCTCTTACATAAAATCTGCAAAGAAAGATTAACGCAGCAAGGAGATCGGCCTCGGGATCTCAGACTAGGTTGCTTTTTCCATATAGACTCCCCTTGGTGATTTTTGTTCTTTATTATTTTTTAAAACAAAAACCTTTTTCTGAAAATACAATGAGCTGCTTTTTGCAGGGTTCACAATTCCCAATAGATGATGATGCCATTTTTCAAGGTCTTACACACGTTGTGGCTTTGGGGCTTATTTATTAGCTCCCAAGAAAAGCCTGCCTTTCAGTGAGGTTTATATACTGGAGTAATTGCAGCAGGAGACACAGTGCAGGTTGCTGTTAAAGAGGCTTGGTTGTACATGCGTCTGCAAGGAAGGCCCTGGGCCAAGCAGCTGTCAGACCAGAGTGTGCAACGGGTTTAAACAAACACAGGGAAAATTCTACGGAAACACCAAGGAGGAAATCCCCTCCTGTAAGGGTGGGATTATTCCGTGGCCACACATACTGCCGTCTTTCCTCTCCTCCCTCCGAGTAAACACATGACTCTGTTATGGAGATGGCGCTCAGCCCACCCAGACCACTTTCAAATTCAGGTGTCAGAAATCACGGTTGACATGGAGCAAATTGTTTTTAAGTAAAATCACGGTGCTACTTTGATACGAATTCCACCAGGGACTTTCCAAAGGTATTTATACACGTGCCTGAGATTAACTGGAGGGTGATTTTTTCCCCTCAACATTAATTTCCAAAAATTACCCAAGAATTGCACTTGGGCTTGTTATTCTGAAGAGTGGAGAGAACACCCGAGTGCCGGGCCTGTGTGAATGGGTGGATGGATGGACAGAGGGATGTGTAACTGTGAAAGAGGTTGGTGCCCACGTGGCACTGGCAACTCGTGGGTGAAAAAAATGTAGATAATTTAAGAAGACAAATACCCGCTCCCTGTGTGTGTACTCTAGACCTGCATTATTGTGGGGTTATAATAAATCACCTGGGTTCAAATCCTATATGTGTCACCCACTATTTGAGTAATCCTGGGCAAGTCACTTCTGTGTTTGAGGCTTACAATAGTACCTACTAGTGGTGGGCTGAATTATTGATCTCAATTCTTCATTCCCCCGTGGTGACATTGCACATCCACACCCTTGTCACAGCCTCATAGTACGTGGATTGTTCTTCCCCATTCCTTGACTTTGGACTTGCCCTAGACAATAAGATATTGGGGTATGTAACTGGATCAGAGGCTTGAAGTGTGCTTGCAGGGCTAGGCTTGCTTTCCTGTGCTCTGGTTGGTCCACCATGAAAAGAGCATGTCCTGAGTCGCTGCCTCTTCCAGCGAGGCCGCAGAAGGAACACACAGGGAGCAGACTAAACTCAACTTGCAACCGGGAGCCACGTTACCCCACCCACAGCAGGCCTCAGAACTGCTTCAGTTGACCTACGGACACATGAGGAAGGTAGGTAAAATCGTCGTTGTAAGCCACTGAACCTCAAAGTTTTATTACGCAGCATTATCGTGGCTGTAACTCACTGATACGTTGCCTCAGTGGGCTGGTGTGAAGATTAAAGACTGAATGTTTGAAAAATACTAACCACAATTCTTGGGACATAGTAAGAGTTCAAAATATTAGTTGTTATTAGTAATCATCATTATGGAAAGTAGTTTTGCCCATAATAGTCATATAATAAATGTTAATTAATTAATTGAATCAGTGAACACATATAACTCGAATAAAGATTCTGTAAGAGACAGTGCAAGGACATCAGAAAATGGGAAGGTCAGGGACTTACCCTGATCCTTAAAATCACATTCATTCACTCATTCATTCATTCAGCAGACATTCTCTGAACACTTGCTATGTGCCATGCACTAGGCTGAACTTTGGAGCCACTCTGATGACTAAGACTTGGTCCCCTCCTGAGGAGGGGGACCTGCAAAGCCCCACCATGTGACAAGTACTCTGCTTAGCATTTTCCCGTGCTACATCATTTGACCCTCACAACAGCCCGAGAGGTCAATATTACTTATCCCCATTTTTAGGTAAGGAGACCGAGGCTCAGAAACCAAACATTTAGAAAAAGACCAAAGGCTACGCCTGAACCATTAGTGTGTGCTAGTGCCAATGAATTCAAGCTGACGGTGGGCAACCCATTGGGAGAGTACAGTGGGGCAGGGGAAAGGAAGAACACAGCTTGTCTGAACATGCTCTCATACGTGCTAGGGGCTCAGCAAACACTGAGGCTCGGAACACCCAGGTTCCCCTTCTGCCACTGCAAAGGGCTGCACCTGGGTGCCAGGGAGCCCCCGGGGTCATTGCAAAGGCTCTCAAATTCATTTTGTCAGCGCTGCCTTTAGATTTCTACCACCTCTGCCACCAGCAACGACCTGCCTCCCACTCTGTGACTTTGACAAATTTAGAGCGCTCGGTAACCTGAAGTGCATTTCAATTTCATAAATTTAGAAATACTCTGGTTAGGCAGCTCCCTTCTGCAGTAATGCATCCATTAAGTGCACTTTAAGCCAATTTTGGTATGCTAATCCATCACAAATCGACGTGAAATTTGGGTTCTTGTGAAAATTTCCTACACCCGATCCAAAACCTCTACAGGATTTAGGATAATAACAAATAACGGTTCCTTAAATCAGCAGACTGCGACTCTGCATCAAACCTTCAGGAAAGAAAGGCATATGGCTAGTTTTAAAGGAACATCCAGACTTGTGTATTCACATGAGAGCTGTCTGCTCTAACGGGGTGCCCAGGGGAGTTCCCTTGTTCTAAAAATGCTGCTGCAGCTTTAAGATTTCAGAATTCTGTTACAGAGGAAGGGGGTCATGACGTTCCTGCATTCCCAGTCCCTAGCTCAGAGCCCAGTGAGTATTTGGCAACCAACTCAGTTGCAATCACCTGGCTTGATCAGCACTTAATTATCAGACTTAGCTTCATACGATTTTCACTATATCCCAAAATCAAATGTCCTCCTTGCTGATGAGGATTAGGGATCCTAACGCACAGGCAGAAGCCTCTGAAGGAAAATATGATGTGGACCCCAGTGACATTGTGGTGCCGGCATCATCGGAACGGTACACATGTTTATTCAATAGTCGCTGAGGCCAAGAAGGAATGTACGGCCAGTAACTGACAATACAAAGAACCTACAGGTGATAAAAGAGACATAATGTCATTGTTATCTCCACCTAAGACTCTGTTGCTACCAATTGTTGAAGGGCAGTACCTATTAACTAGATGTTTTTAGCTGCATAATAGACATTTTGCCAATAAGATAAAGTTTACAGCTGGTAGCGTTTTCACTTACTTGCTTCTGTCACAAGATCTACAACCCATTCAACGGCAGAAATGAGCTGTTGACTCGGTAAATTTAGAGCAACATCGCCTGCCCTAGATGTGAAATACCTGAGCCTTCTAAATATTTCATTTTCCAGGTTGAGTGTTTAATGCAGTGAAATGTCACCAAGCGGCGCTCCGGAGGATAATAGGCATGAACACCCACAGGCAGACACTGCGAGGGGCTCACTGGGATCCTCACCCTTCCCAGCCCAACTTTGCTTCCGGGTCCAACCCAGACCCATGAGTGTCCATCCTGCACCCGCCCAGGTGCCTGCCTGAGAGGCCCCAGTGTGTCTTGGCCCTTGGTGCTCCCTTACCCCAGCTGCAGTGAGCCGCCATCCTCTTCCTGAGCCTGGCTCATCCTAGAAGCACCGAAGGAGTCTCAAAAATGCAGATTCCTGGGCCCCAATACCAGAGATTGCACTTCAGTGCCTCGGGAGTGGGGCCAGTAATGTGAATCAGAGTGTCTGGGGAGGTGCCTGGGAATCTGCATGTTTAACGCACTCCCATTGACAGTTGAGACCTGCTAGTTTGCATGTCTCCTTCGGGTTGTTGCAACAGCTTCCTTCTGCTGCTTCCCCTGCCTCCTCTCCTGACGTCCACCACCTGGTTGTTCTATTATACATACATAGCCAGGACCCTTCCAAAGCACAAGTCTGCTTTGTCAGCCCCATAATTAAACCCCTTTGACACCCATCCCCAG